CGCCCAGGAACCGGCATCGAAACGAAGGCACCTGCACCGACAATCCCAGGAAACACCCGGCCCCACCCCGAAGCGAATCCAGTCCCAGGCCCCAGGGATCCGAGGATGCCCAACCCCCAGACAGGAGCCCCAGCAAGGCCCCGGCCGGCCGGGGCAGCGGAGAGGCCGCCAGGAATGAGCCGGCAGCCACCCGGGCATCCACCCCCAGACCCCGAGCCCCACCAGTGCACCAGCGAGCCCCGACACCAAACATAGGAGGGAGAGCAGGACGGGGGGAATGGGCTCCGCAGTTAGCGGAGACTTGAGATGTATTTGGGAGGGGATGCAGTTGGGACACCAACCTGGGAGAGGAAAAAAAAAAAAAAAAAAACACTCACAATCTCAATTATGCCATCCCTCCCTAGTGCCCCCACTCGCACCACAGGGAAAAAAAAAAATTAATTTAGTTAAGTTTAACGACTTTAAATTTCACTGTTTCTGACTCTGCTCATCAAGAAAAAAGAATGGGCTCTGTTGGAGTGGTGAGTAGTGTCACCACTCCAACAGAGCGCATTCTTTTTTCTTTTTTTTCAGCATTTGGCAAGTATGTTTCTGCTCAGGCATGTTGCATTTATCTCCACTTACTCAAAAATTTGGCCGATGTGCTTTCGCATGTCCACAGGGATGACAGCACATGCCACAGTTTGCTGAACTGTTATAGCCAGAGGCTGCTAAGTTTTTTTCCACGGGCCTGTGAAAATACACACACACGAACATATATATGTATATATATATATATATTTATATATATATATATATATATCTATATATATATAGATATATATATATATCTATATATATATAGATATATATTCTTACAGATGTTTGTGAGCACATTCTTACAGATGTTTGTGTGGCTATAGATGGCTTTGTTCCATAAAGGCCAGATCTGTGCAGTATACAACTGATTGTTCTGCTATGGACAGAGTCTCCCACCTCAGCACTAGATCTTGACCTCCAGCCTTCTCCTCCATGGGGGGTAATGGTCTTTGTGGCCAGTGGTGTTTATCTTATAGCCAAGCATCTCTAGGATCACTGCAGCTGTGGCGTAGATCAGCTCATTGGTCTCAGTTATGTCTCTAGTAGGGATAGTATGTAGTGCTGCAATTATACCTTCTAGAAGACTTTCAGAGGGTACTCTGTCACTCAGCCTTGGCAGTCTTGGTTGTCGTACTAGGGGGTCCAGCTTGGTTATGATCTGCAGTCGTAGGTCAGCCGCCCTTACGTTTAGTGGGCTTGTTATTGGGGATTGGGACTCAATCTATTAGTGTTGGGTTGATGATGATCAAATCTACCTGTTGACCTGCTGTCCTGACTCCCCCGTGCTGCAGCATGTGAGTTGTACCTCATCAATTTCTAGTTGTGATAGGAGCTGCCGTTCACGGATGTTAGAACACTGAGCTAGGAGTTGTTTCTTTGTCAGTGTCGATGATGGGTTTTGAAGCATCCATATATCCCATAATCTTTGCATGTAACCTCTCTCACAGGGGTTGGTTGTATAGTAGCATTT